GGTTTAGGGCTGTTGTGCATAGGGTCACTATGAGTCACAAACGACTCGAGGGCACATAACAACAACAACAACAACAACAATCATGATGGTGCCAATTGGCCCAGTGGAGAGAAAGTTCATTTTCTTGATGTTGAGTTTCAATCCATATTGTAGACCTTCTGTAGCAAATACTTCATGTCTTCCTCAATTTCAGTCAGTATGGTTGTATCATCTGCATAACAGGTTGTTGATGTCTTCCTCCAATCTTGATACCACATTCCTCCTCATAAAGTCCAGCCTCTCAAATCTCTGTTCTGCATACAGACTGAAAAGGTATTCCTCTTCCTTATTTTTAATCCAACTTTCATATCCAGCCCATTAGGGGAGGGAGAAAAAAACAACAACTATAGCTTGCTTGGGTCAACCTCTTTAGTCCTCAAAGTGACAAAAAAAAAATGAGGGAGTATTGACACTTAAAAAGAGGGTTCAGGCTGTATAATGATGTAATCACTCTGGAATGGAGTTTTCATTTCCTCAAAAAGCTGAACATAGAGCTTCCATATGACCCAACTATTCCCCTGCTAGGAATATACCTCAAGGAAAGTAGAACTGAGAAACAAACAAATTTGTACAGATGTTCATAGCAGCATTATTCATAATACCAAGAACATGGAAACAACCCAAATGTCCATCAACAAATGAGTGGATCAGAAATTGTGGTACATTCATGATGAACTAATGCAGCACTCAGGAGCAACAATTTTGAAGAGTACTGTATAACACGGGTGAGGCTAGAGTATGTTGAGTGAACTAACTTAGGCACAGAAGAACAAATATGGTATAAGACCAGTATTGTAAAAACAGAAGGACAACCAGTAAGATGTATGTAGATATCCAAAGAAGCAAGGGGAGGTGGCACGGGGCTGAGGGTGGATAGGAAAGGAAATTGTGGGTGCAGAGTTTGGTGGACGGAGGTGGGGGCGGGGAAAAGTGTACATGAATGAAACACTATGAAAACAAATTCTTTTTTTTTAAATTTCCATTCATTCATTGTTGCACTTTTCTCCCTGCCCACACCTCCCCATCCAGTTCACTCCTTGAAAACTAAAAGAAAAATTCTTTCATTATTATACAATCCCTCCCCCCCAGGTCCACTCCATTATGCAGCCTCCATTCTGGACTCCTGTCATGACAATAAAACCTAATCACATATCCCTTTTAAACAGTTTTCTCCCTCATCTGTTTCAATGCAGTATACATTATTTATCCCATCTTTCTCAGGCTCCCCCGAACCCCGATGTCAGTCCTATTTTACAACAATGGTACTATACAGTATTTGTCCTTTTGTGACTGAAATATTTCACTCAGCATAATGTCCTTCCGGGTCACCCATTTTGAATAATATTTCATGAGTTCCCTGTTTTTAAATGTAGCATAGTATTCCATTGTGTGAATATACTAGAGCTTCTCTATCCATTGTTTGTTGATGGGCACTTGGGTTGTTTCCAACTCTTTGCTATTGTAAACAAAGCTGAGATAAACATAGGTGTGTGAAAACAAAGTCTTATATGCAAAACAATAATTTAAAAGAAAATAGGTTCCGAAAAGGACTTCCAGTGTTTATGGGGATAACACTTGAGCAGAGACTTGAGGAAAGATCTAAAGAGCACTGTCAGAGTGTGAAGACCTGAGGCAGGAACAGGAAGGTCAATGTACTTGGAGTTAGGGACTAGGGAGGGATAGGAGATAAGGCCAAAGAGATAAGCACAAGTCAGACATTTCTAGGTCTTTTAGATAAAACAAGGAATTTAGGTTTTATCCTGAAGGTATAGGAGGGAAGGCATTAAAATTGAAAACAGCTCTTTCTCAGTCAGAGCGGCTATGCTGTTGGTGTCTCTGAGTTATCCAGTGTCATCCACATTGTTGTGGTGACCCCCACACCCGCTGCAGACATGACTGAACAGATGACCCTTCATGGCACCCTCATGGGCCACATGGCTGAATGACCCAAATTGCGACCACATCGCAGTTCCCAGACATGATATCGTCCACCTCATGAAATAAGACTATATCACGTGGAAGCTGACCAGGGATAAAACCCACTAGGGCATCCCTCAGTGTGCTCTGCATGGTCACTCCCTTTGTTAGTGATGTGTTCATCTCCTCTGATGGCCAGTTTGCCCTTTCTGGTTCCTGGGATGAAATACTGTGCCTTTGGGATCTCACAATGGACATGCCGATTTGCAGGCCATACATATGTTGATTGTGGCCTTCTTTGACAACCAGCAGATTGTCTCAGGATCCGGAGATAACACCATCAAGTTGTAGAATATGCTGGGTGTCTGCAAGTACATTGTCCAGGATCAGAGTCACTCAGAGCAGTGTCTTGTCTCCACTTCTCACCCAGTATCAGCACCCCATCATCATCTCCTGTGGCTGGGACAAGTTGGTCAAGGTGTGGAATCTAGCTAACTGCAAGCTGAAAACCAACCACATTGGCCACATGGGCTACCTGAACACTGTGACTGTCTCTCCAGATGGATCCCTCTGTGCTTCTGGAGGCCAGGATGGCCAGGCCAGGTTGTGAGATCTCAACAAAGGCAAGCATCTCTATACCCTAGATGGTGGTGACATCATCAATGCCCTGTGCTTCAGCCCTAACCACTACTGGCTCTGTGCTACCACAGGCCAACATCAAGATCTGGGACTTGGAGGGCAAGATCCTTGTAAATGAACTGAAGCAAGAAGTTATCAGCAACAGCAGCAAAGCTGAACCACACCAGTGTACCTCTCTGGTCTGGTCTGCTGATGGCCAGACTCTGCTGGCTAGACAGATAATCTGGCGTGAGTGTGGCAAGTGACCATTGGCACTCGGTAGAAATGTATGTCACAACATTGGAAATAAAAAATTTGGCTTTAAAAAAAAAAAGAAATTGAGAACACAGAAGAAGGTATAAGATGTTGGGAGAATTGTTTCTAAAGGATATGGTAAGGTCTGGAGCCATATGGAGGAGGCTCCTTCTGCTCCTCATCTCAGTGAATGGAGCTCCAATCACTCACTCAACTCATTGCCACTGACATTGCAACAGACTCAGAACTGACCCTCCATTGTGTTTCTGAAACTATAAATTGCATGGAATGAAACTTCCCATCTTTCTTCCTCAGAGCCACTGGTGGATTTAAATCATCAGAGAGATGTGGCCCCTGAATTAGTGTAACTTCCTAGACTACACCCTTCTAAAACCCAAGTTTACTTCTGTAAAAAACATACCTCTCAAAAATACTGTCTTCAGTTTCTATTAAAGTTTTCTATTATCACCAAGGACTTGCAGGTTATTAAATCCAATACTCAAAACTCAAAACCATTGAGTCACAACTGACTCATAATTGGCCCCGATAGGCTTTCCCACCACCACACTCCCCAATTCACCGGCAAGGACTGTAGACTTCAAGATGGATTGAACCGCAACATCAAGACGACCAAAAAAACCAGAAAGAAAGATTCTCATCACTGGGCCAATTGGCAGCACCATGATAGGTGGAGAAATGATTGAGGATGTTAACAACTTCAGCTAACTTAGCTCCACAATCAACACTCTTGGCACCAACACTCAAGAAATCAGAAGACCAATTGCATTAGGGAAATCTGCTGTCAGGGACCTCTCCAAAGTTCTAAAGAGCAATGATGTCAGTCTAGAGACTAAGGTTCACCTAATCCAGGCCATAGTCTTTGTAATTACTTGCTATGTATCAGAAAGCTGGACAATGATTAAGGGTGACAGAAGAATCAATGCCTTTGAGTTTTCATGCTGGAGAAAAGTGTTGAACTTACCATGGACTGTCAAAATTCTCTCCTGGAAACCAAGTTGCTTCTTGGAGGCAAGAATTTTGAAGCTCCATCTTACATACTTTGAGTATGTTGCCAGGAAAGACCAGTCCTTGGAGAAGGACATCATGCTTGGGAAGGTGGAGGGACAGTGCAGGAAAGAAAGATCCTAGATGAGGATTGACACAGTAACTAAGATAATGGGAGTAAGTATGTTAGACAGGTTGGCTGAGGATAGGGCAGAGTTCAGAGCTATTGTACTTAGGATCGTTATGAGTTGCAGGCGACTCAATGGCAAATAACAATAGTACAACGTAGTTGCTTTCATGCAATGAAAGCAAAACTGAGTAATTATTACTGAGATAATAGCTTTTTATAGAAGAATCTGCTATCCCATACTTTACATTCTCTTCTTAAATCCCACTCTTACCACATATAGATATATATGCACAAAATGACAAATATTCACAAAAAGAAGCTTAAATTTCTTCTATCTAGTAGTACAGTGAGTTATGTGTTGCACTGCTAATCCAAAGTTTCTCAGTTCAAATCCACTAGCTAGCTCCTATAAAGATTTACATTCTTGGAAGCCTGATAGAGGGTCCTATGAGTAGGAACCCACATCCATTCTGATGAGTCACCAAGATCTGAAAATTAATGTGTCCAGAACAACTTCTGCTTTAGTCTGCCCAACTCAGTATTGTTGTATGCCACTGAATAGGTTCCAACTAAAAAAAACCACCACAAGACAGAGTACAACTGACCCTATGGGTTTCCTAGGCTGACTGCCCGGCCTTTTCTCCTGGGAAGTAACCTTTTGGTTAACAGTGGCACTTTAACAATCATGACACCAGGGCTTCTTCCCATGTCAGTAAATAATACAAATATTCATACATTTGATCACATGATAATTTTCATAAGCCTTGATATTTCCCCCTTCTGCAATCCCTATATCCAGTATAGTACCAAACCCTTCCCGTACATTAAGCCCAATTCTGAAATGGTGCAGGTGGAAAACAGTAAAGCACCTCAAAAAGCTGAACAAAGAATTGCCCTGTGATCCTTAACTACACGTGCAGAAATGAAAG